TGGCTTCATCAAATCGGCACAGCTACCCCCCGAGCAAAACTCCATGACGATCCATAGCTCGGCGCCTTTGGCGTAAGAACCATAGTATTTGGTAACGTAGGGCGACTGTAGCTCGGAAAGGATGGCGATCTCCTGGATAATGTCTTCTACTTCGTCCTCGGCGCTTTCAATATCGATAACCTTGATAGCTACTGCCTGGCCACTCCGTTTGTCGAAACTGGATTTTGGGTAGAGAGATTAGTATGCGACGCTGCGAGAGCATGGCGGGAGAGACGTGGGATAGGTAGGGTACCCTTTGAAGACCTTGCCGAAACTACCTCCACCTGCAAATCACGGTCTACTGGTCAGCAACCGCCGCTTGAATGGCGCCGAGGGCCATGGGCGTATTGGACGCTCGGTGAACCAACCTATACAAAATTCCTTGGTGTATAGGAGTTCGGGGTCCACAGATCCCTCGTGCTCGTCATATTCGCGGTCGGCCATGGCGTACGTAACGTGAGTCGTGCGGAGGGGCGAGGTGGTTCTATCTCAGACGGCGGTGCAGGCGAACGAGGGTCGCATGGGTTGGTTGATTTGCCTGGGACACAACAGTGCGCCAATTGGGTCGGATCTCGTGGTGGGATGTCGCTCGAAGGTCGCAAAGGATTATTGCAGTGGGCAAGATGCGCGACGAGAAGCACAAGTCGTAGGGCTACGAGGCAGGAGAGGGCGATCAAGGGCGGGAGCGAACGGTGACTAGGATGATGCTCTGGTCCAGTCTGTAGGTGCAGCCGGGACACGGGGGACTGAGCAAGGGGAAGCTCGAACAATTGGCGGGACCAGGTCAGCCCCGATGACCGCCACAGTTCCAAGGACGACTCGGAGTGTCGCGAAGCAGTCTGGGGAGTTCAGTCACGCGAGGAGTCGGTCGGATGCTAGAGAGGAAGAATACTGGAGGTTGGAGGGCGCAAGCGCAAAAATGTGAGCAAGGTCGATCTGAATGAAGGAATTGGGACTTTGGAAGGAGGTGTCCGATGTTTACACTGCACTGGAAGTTGAATGGAGGCAGGGGACGGATCCGCGAAGGTTACCTAAGAAATGGCGATCCCAGCCCGCTCCATGTTTGGGAGAATGGATCCCTCCCCACGCGCACTGTGTTCAGCGCCGAGTGTCTCACCAGCAGGTACTGTACCTGTAGCGCGGTACGTAGCTCACGAATCAACAACCGTGGAAGGAACCAAGCCAAGATGCTCGATTTCCTTCATCCAAATTACACAGACGGAGCATTCCTCCCATTCGTCAATCGACTGGACGATCAGGAACGCGCAGAAATCTCTTGGGAACGGAGAGAGGGAGGGCAGCCAGATAGTGTATGTATGTAGTGCCATACAAAATACCGAAGCAACGTCTGGGATTCTGGGATCCTGGCTGAGGAGCGGAACCTCATTCGTAGGGCAGGTATAAAGCACCACCGCTTGAGGTGTTCGCATGCGATGGGCATCATGAGTCAAAATCTACAAAATACAAGTTCGCGTCTTGCAAGGCCGATCTCTTCTTCCTCGTGTTCCACTTCTTTTCAGTTCTATCTTCTTGTAGGCCACAGCATGAGGACATGAGGTGTCGGTTAAGGAACGTGCAAAACATTCACATGCGGGGGTCAACGACATGCATGCACTAACAATTATCAGAGGGGTGCCCTGCCCTGCCCTGCAGCAGTGACACTTCGTCGCACGCTTGCAGCTTTGACCTTGCCTACCCGTGTGGTTTTTGTGGGGTAACCGTGCACGCCGGCGCATTCCACTTCCTCACCACCATGGGGCAGCCACCACAGCAGATGCTGCATGACTGGTGATGGACTACCTCTGCTAACAGGGGACGCCTTTTGGACAGAAGAAGTGGTACCTTGAGTCATCTATCGTTTTGCGTGTACCCTAGATATACGTATAACCACGCTAGAAGAGGGGTAATCAAAGCAACAAGATACAGAAAGCCAAGTAATGTTATGACCCATGATGCGCCTTGTTTCCTTCTTCTGTCCTCTTTCTGTTCTCTTCAGCTGTGAGACGTCTGCTTTGTCCTCCCAATTGTATACCTTCCAAAAGTCCTCCCAGTGACGCCAATTCCCCGCTGTGCGGACAAACAAAACGATATATCCTTCCTTGTGCTGTAAAAAGGTATAATAACCCGTCTAGAAATAAAGCCATCTCTAGTCATCCATCCACCCGGGCCTACCCATCTTGCGTGTGAGTTCGTCAACAGGCTCATGGCTATCCTATTCCTCAATGAACTCAACCATGACAGTACCATTAGCCAGACCGGCCTCCTTGATCGTTTCATCAATAACATCAAGCAGGTTGACGCCTCCGGGCATAGACTTGAGCTCAAACTCGAGTCCCTCCTTGCCCGGCAGGGGCTCGGCCTTAAGCCACTCGTAGATACGGCGAACGGGTTCGTCAAGTCTGAATCGGCGAATGATGCGCTGCGGGGGATTGCGGACCTGCAGTCTCGTCACCGTGGCGGGGTCGATGGGGGGCTCGACATGCGGTCGGTCCGAGGCGATCTGAGCAAAAACGGAGTTCTCGGTGGAGGGAGTCTCAGGTTCAGGCTCAGGAGCCGCCTCAGCGGGCTCTTCATCGGCTCGCTCCTTGCCCTTGGTGGAGTCTGTCGGCCTGGTAAGCGCATCAGGGTCGTGGACCTTGGGCGCTGAAGAGCTGCCATTGCCTCCGTTCTCGAGGCTGTTGCGAAGTGCCATCTCAAGCATCTCTTCCTCCGTCATCCTGTCCACATCCACCACCTGCTTGGGCTGCTTTGTCTTGAGGACGGGGTTCTTAGCGTGAGCCTCCAAGCTGTACCTGTCCAGGAACTCGGCCAGCTGAGCATGAAACTCCAGCGGTTTGGGGAACGGAACGCCGCTCCACACCTTGACCTGCTCGCCTGTGCGGGGATCGATAATGGAGACATGGGGATAGTTTTGAGGATTTTCGTGTGTCTGGTTCGGGAAGTAAAACGAAATGTACTGCTCGGCTGAGCGGTCGGTCTTGTCGTACTGCAAGAAGACAAAGTTGTGCTTAACGAGCTCCTTGATTGGCTCATCCTTCCAAATGTCTCGATTGAGGGCCTGGCAGTTGAAATCAGCCATATCCTGGAGATTAACCATGATCCACTTCTTCTCCTCCTTGCCCTCGTCACGCGCTTCATCCCAGCTAAGATGTGCCATCAACTCGTACGGGGGACGGAAAAGCTCTGCCAGACGGCCAGCCCGCGTTGAGGCAGTTCCTGTCGGGGGAGAAACCACACCACCGGCAGCGGAGCCGGGAATGGGATCGGGAGGCTGATCCCAAACAGTGGGCTGTGCGAACGGGTTATGGGGCCGCCCTGCTGAAAGCGTGTTAGCATAACATGGAACAGTGCCTTGGAACTTGTGGAAACTTACCCCGAGCTTGCCTCACCCTCTGTTGTTCCAGCCGAAACTGCTCAAACATCTCTTCGTCGTCTCCGCCGAAGCCTCCTGGGGCAACGAGAGTCTCTGTCGTTCGGGCCATGGGGGCACGAACGTCGTCCTCACCGCTTGGACCTCCAGCTCCGGATCCACCACCGCCGTACATCTCTTCTTGTAGTCTCTTTGCCATGGCGGCATCCTCCTCCTCCTGAGCCCTCTGAGCAATGGTGGCCGCCCTCGTCGCCTCATCGCCCGAGTCGTCGAATTGTCCTAGGTCATCGTCTTCCGTCATTTGGATATCATCGTCGTCGGAGTCGATGTGAATAATACCGGCAGCGTCCTCACGGCCGACATTGGGCCGGCTGGGCCGGCTTGACGAGCGAGAGGCGCCAGCAGATCGAGAAGCGGCAGCGGGAGCTGTCTCTGTCGCGGGGTTGGAAAGGGTACGTTGGAGCTCTTCGTCGGCAAACCAGAGCTGGATGGCTTGCTCCAGATCACCGCCGCACAGCTCCAGCATGCGCCTGGCAGCTGTGTCGTTGGCCCCGGTGATGCTCGCAAAGTTCGCGATAGATTCTGAATCAGCCATCGCGAAGACCGTTGGTTGAGTGATGGCGTTCGAAGGGATGGTCGTAGAGGGTTGGGAGAAGGCCAGGGGGGTCCTGTCAACAGGAGCTTCCCAAATAAACGAAATGCAGTACGCGAGAGCCCGGTGCCGGATCTTGAGTTGAGAGTTGTCAGGAAGAGGGGACAAGACGTTGGTCTCTGGCAGCTGGAGCTGATGCGAAACGGGAAGAAATGGGGAAAGGACTGAGTTGGAGGGCAGGCAGTCGAGGTCGGATGCGGGAAGGTGAATCTATCGATCTGCTTGTAATTTTGAGGATGCGCTATCGTAACGCGAAGCTGTGACTGCACCGACTAATGTTGTACAGCGCACGCGCAGTGACTTAAAGCTGGCGGAGAGGAGGGATGTTCGAGGCCACGGAGAGGTGGGGGTCCTGGTCGGGCTCGTTTGGCGGCGGCAGCTCGATGGTGCTTTCGGATTCGAGGGCGTAGTTGATAGAAAAAGATATTGTGGCGAACTGGTTTCTGGTAGCCGATTAATAATGGGGAATATTCTGCGGCAGTAAAGACAAGCGGTAGAAGAGTGAATGAAACCTTTCCCGTCTTTAATTTCGAAAGGTCAAAAGTTGAATCAATGGTTCGGCATTGGATCGATTTCCCAAGGCGCCCAAGCTAGTGACGCAAGAGGGACGCTGTCCCACTGCCGCACTGAAGAGTCCGCTCGGCGGGCACTCAAGCGGCTGGACCTGTATAGAAGCTTCTCCCTGCTATCCCCCGGCTACTGTGCCTGCCGCCAATGGTCCCGGCCTTGGCAATCTTACGAGTAATACAAGACAAGCACCACCTCTACACAGTAGGCTAGAATCTGTGGATGGGGGTTAGGGTTATGCGTGAGACTCTACAAAACCAACCCTCAACCCCAACAACCTGCATCTGGGGTTTAGAGTTTGGGATTCAGAGATAGCAAGTGGCCAAGGTTCGAGTTGCGGAGATGTAGAGAAGGTACGCAATGTTGGACTTTCGAGCCTAGAGGTATGTTCCCATTATGATGTCTGCTATATACCGGCAGTCCCTTCCTGCATTCCTACGAATTTGACACTAGGGCGTTGTCACACAAAGTCCTAATCAAGCAGAGCCAAACACGCCTTCCACTTCAGCTGCACCTCCGACGAACGCTCCTCAGCCAACGCCTTCACAACCTTTTCCTTGACTCCCGACAAGGCATCACCACTCGCATGCTTGGGGAGCTTCCCCATCGCCACAGCCGCCATGGTAGCCTTGGCCCTCAGCAGCCTCTGGTCTTCCGTTCCAGTATCAGCCTTGTCAAGATCCAAGGTCGCCAAATACCATTCAAGAACCTGGGGATCTGGAGATCCAGCTCCATCCTCTCCACCCTTGATAGCTGCCTCAAGCAACTCCAACACGCATTCATACCAAAACACCCTCCTGATGGCATCGAACGGAGCCTGGCCAATGTACGGCTTCTTGAAACCCGGCTTCTTTGCGTTTTCCTCCAGCGCAAGCGCAATCTCCTTCAACTGTCCCATCGCATCCTCCTGCATTTTTGCACGATTGTACCCCTTCGCCACAGCTTCCATAGCCGCCCACGCCGTCTGACTCTTCGGATCCAGACCTCTCGCCTTGTTGTTGGTACTCGCCTTATCGTCGACATCCATGGCGTCCTCGTCCGCCGTCATGTCCAAATAGGGCGTCACGATCTCCGAGATGGTCGGTAGCATCGTCAAGTCGTCTCTTGCAGCTGCGAACTTCCACAGGCAGCGGAACGCATGGGGCCGGTATTCGTTGTTGTTTCTCTTGGCCTCGCGAACGGCGATTTTCTTTAGTTGTTCCCCGAAAGAGGCGTCTTTCTGCCAGATCACCTTGCTTTTACTGACAAAGTCAGGAAACGGCTCGAGGAGCTTTTCTTTTCCTGGGAACGTCTTGAGGGCCAATGCCTTCTCATAGACGGGCCACAAGGTCTTGAGGTTCTCAACGTTGACTTGTCCAGTGACATCGCTGGCCTTGGTGATGCCTGCGACAGCAGACGCAATAGCCAGGGCGCCAGCATGCTTTAGTGCCCACTGTGCCGTATTCAGTGACTGTTGAACAAGCTCGACGATCTCGGACACGTATCTAGCAACGCTAAGGCTGCTTCCGGCGTGCTTATCCCAGACTTCCTCAAATTCTTTCCGGACATAGTCGTCGGTGTCGTGCTTTCCGAGGTACGCAAAAGGCAAAAGCTTGCCCTCGAGCGCATTGAAATGGTCGGGCGAAATTTTCGAAAGGGCCAGGACGGCATCTGCAACCTTCTGACGCCTAGCCTCGTCCTCCGACTCAAGGTAGAGCTCCAAAACCCTATCCGAGAAGCGTAGCTTTGCCTCGTCTGGACAGCCGCGGATAATGTACGCTGCAGCACGCGCATAACCCTGGCTGACCTCGTCGTTTCGATCCAGCACCTGCTTCTCCATGAGTTGCAGGAATCGGGCTGAGTACGGCTTGAAGTCTACGGTATGTCGAGTTGCCAGAGTAGATAGAACGCGACTGCAGCCGATCTTTGTAGGCATACCAATGGCTGTTTTGATGGCCTCTTCGAGGGCCGGCGCTAGTTCCACCATGACGTCGGCGTCAACTGTCCTGAGACTGCTCTCGATTGCCTCAGTGACCGGGCTCTGAGAGACCGCTGAGCTCCGGAATTTATCGATCTTGTCTCTGTCGTCTTCTCCAGCTCGTTGGTAGTAGTAGTTGACAATATCAGCCTCAAGCGTACTAAGGCTTCCGAGGAGATTTGAGACTATCGTGGCGATGTAAGGGTTGAGTGCCTTTCCACCCTTCTTGCAGATCTTGATGACTGTGTGGGTAGCAAAGTACTTGACTTCCTTCACTCCACTCTCGATTCCTTTGTCCGAAAGTAAGAATGGCAAGGCCTCGTTCATCATGGCTCTAGCAGACGCAGTGTTGCCTGACTCTTCCAACTGGCGGACCAGTGTTGTTGAAAGAGCAATACAAAGGTGCAAGGCAGCATTTCTCACAGTACCCTTAACATCATCGAGGACCTTCAAGGCCGCCATCCAGATGTCCTTGTAGTACTGCTCGTACTTTTGAAAAGGCCGTCCGGCGACCAGGTCGGAGATGGCAGCACAGCTCGCCTCGCGAACTCTCCATTCCTTGCCAAGGATACACTTGAGCAAGTCCTTCATAATAGCATCGAAGTTAGCCTCAATAACGGCATTGGAATCCTTGACTAGAGCCTTCCAAATATCATTCATGGACTTTTGCACGTTCGGGTTGGGGTCAAACCGGTACCGATACAGCTTCGGGTACAGTTTTGGGTCGACCTCTGACTCGGAAAGAATGTTGCTCAGTCCGAAACGACCAAAGGCGGATCGGGTGGACCAAGTGGCAGCGTTCGTTGCCAATGACATGAACTTGTAGACAAGACTTTGATCGCCCACCTCATTCGCAAGGCTAACAATGTCTTTGTACGAGGTAACGGACTTGCCGTCGCCAGTCGGGAGCGCACCGGCCTCGAAGAGTTCTGTTTCTTCATCCACTTTGAGCTGCGGACCGGATCCCGTGAATGATGACACAAGATCGCGTACAAGGTCACCTTTGAGCGCCGAATCTCCCTTCTCGTATACGAGCGAGAGACCTCTGGATGCAGTCTCCTGGACCAGTTCATCGCGAGCACTGAGCAAGCGCATGAACGCTACCTGACATTCGCGTAGTCTAGACTGAACCTCTTCAAGATGAGCACAGTACTGGATGATGCAAAAGAGCCAAATACCGGAGGCCTTGAGCAGAGATGGCTTGGTATTCTTGCAGTCGGCGAGCAGCTTCTCCAACACCGCGGTAATCCGATTAGATCGCTTGGGAATGTGGTATGAATCGCCTCTGGCCTCAACGTCCAGCGTAAGCTGGACGACCTCAGAATCCCAGCAGGCAATGGCGGCGGTAATAGCTTCGCCAACCGTGAAATGGACCTCCGCCTGTCTGAGCTCGTAGAGAGCAAATAGCTTCTCGAGTATGAGGGCAACAAGATCGCTGCTCTCTTCACTAGATGATGCTTCCGCAGAAGGTAAAGGCATTGCGAGTCGCCCGAGAGCGGTGATAGCCTTTTCATTGCCCTTTTTGGCAAGGAGAACCAGGGGATCCACGAAGGCCTTGGAAATCGTATCCTTGTCCGCCCCAGGAAGTACGCAGATACCCGCCGTCCAGAGCTGGCTATAGGCCTCGATCATAGCCTCCTGGGTTGAAAGCGTGCTGGAGGATACCGAATCAAGCGTGGGAAACACGTTGCCAGGATCACTGCTGACGTTGTTGTCCTTGTCTGTAGAGTAGTACACCGATCTGGAGATGAGATGTGCAAGTGCGTTGAACGCTCCTTCGACCGCATTGAGCTCCGACCCAACGGCTGTCTTGAGGTTCTTGGCTATGTCAGCCAAGGTACCCTTGAACATGTTGATAGATTCCGAGCTGTTAGCCGGATGCGCGGCGAGGATACCAAATGCCGAGCATGCAAGTGGGCGGATCTCCCGCTTGTTGGAAGTAATGAGCGACATCAATTCCACGGCACGAGGAACCAATGGTGCGAGGATCTTGCTCGGAGTGAAGGAAGCAAGTTCTACGAAAGAACGTGCACAACCAACTGCAATCTCGGTATCCTCTAAGAGCATGCCGTCAAAGGCCGAACGGAGGAGGCAGAAGATGGCTTCACTATGCTCGCTGGAGGCCAGGTAATCACGGATCGCACGCCGGGTCTTGAGATCAGAGTGTACGGTTGCACTCAACTGACGTTCCCAGCCCGGTTCAATGGTGAAGTCTTCTAATGCAGTGAGGAAGAGAATCCGCTTGCAATAATCGACAGCAACAGGAAAGGCTCGAATGCACTGTCCTGGGAAGTTGGTAAAGGATGATCCCTCATCGATATCCATATCAGCACCGGGTTTGCCACCGTATGATATGGTCTTTGTGAAGAAGGTAACCACCATGTCGTGCCAGGCCGGCAGCGTTCGGGATTTCTCCTCGTTGGCGTAGTACGTCCAGGGGTCTAAGCCCTTTTGACCCTCTTCAACGACGTCACTCCGCTCATCCCGCCGACCAGCTACTGCAAGGATATCAACCCATCGTGCGTATATGTCGGAAAATGGCAAGCATTGGTTCGCCCATTTTGTTGCAGCGTGTCGAGAGCTCCGAACAATGTTGCCTTCTTCCGTCTTGACCATGGATTCCAGGATCAGAGCGTGAAGCTGTTCAGACAGGTCGGGGTTGTGAGGTGGTTTGAAGTTTGCGGCAAGACTGGAGAGAGCGGCGTCAATGTTGACAACGACGTCCGCAGTGGGATCTTCGCAAAGCGATTTAAACAGCCATTGGGCCAAAACCATGCGCTCTGTGTCGGACATGGCCGTGCCCTTCGCAAGGACGCCAATAGTCTCGTAGGCCCTGGAGCGAAGTGTGTTGTCATCAAGAGACTGGCGTTCAGGCTTAGGCCATCCCTGTGCCTCAACGAACTCCCGGAGTAGTGTAACAAGCAAGGTCCTGATTTTGGAGAATTCCGGTTTGCTGGCACCTATGCGAGCGACCCAGTTAATGAACTCAAACAAGGCCCGATGTACCTTGGTAAGTTCAAGCCCGGACGATGAAGAAGACGATGAAGGGCCGTCGACTTGCATAGCATCTGGACTCTCTCTTTGCGTGGCCACATCTAGACGGAAAGCTGCTAGGATCTCGTCGGTGAAGGTAGTTGATATTTCCGACTTGCTCAGCAGACCAAGAATACGTATCCTGTACCGAGCTGGTAGTCTTGAGTGAGCCTCAAAGAGCTGGCGAACAATCTCTCGGTCTTCTAGCGACACTTTGCTTCTCTTGAGCATATCATCTCCAACACCGGCGAGGCGGAAATCGGAGCTCGAGGCAGCATAGATGGCCGGGAGGAAACGTTCTTGATCCGTGAAAGCACCGCTGGCGAGAAAGTTGACGGCCTGAATTCGCGTCTCGGGTAAGCTGAGACCGGACTCGGCAGGATTCCAAGTCTCGGGTTTGTTCAGTGTGAGAAAAGGGAGATCCGACTGGGCCAGCCCAGGGGAAATCGCAGAGCCTTGTGCAGCTATACGCAACAATAGCAGCTTTCCCAACCAGTCGGCGACAAACTGGGCGTCTTTGGGATCCTGGAGGCCTATTTGTTCCCGGAGCGTTTCATCCTCCTTGCTTCCCCTGGGCGGCAGCTTGAAGTCATGAAGACAACGGAGGAGGACGTTGAACAAGCCGGCTCTCGAAGCGCTCACATCCGAACCGATCCCAGGGAGGATCTTGGGGATGAGCTCTCGACGTTCTACCAGACCTAGTCTGACGATACTGTGCTGAATGAAGACGAGATCGAAGTGCTTGATAAGTTGTGACCCTGTGGCCTTGTATTGGTCAAGCAGAGCGGCAACGGGGAGTACAATGCTGGGTTGTTTGATGAAAGTGGTAAGCCTCTGGCATACTTGAACGACCTGCGGACATGGCAATGTGAGCATTTACGCAGGTTGGGTCTCTCAAGACGAGCGCGACTTATGATGACAGACCTTGTTGCGGACTGAAGCATAGTCGCTGCCGGCTTTCAGGAGTAAGGGTGGCAGGAATGTTTTGAGAAGCTGCTGTAGCTTCTCTTCGTTGTTGGCCACGGCGAGAATGCGAAAATCCACCTTTTCCACAAGGTCAAGCTCTCTTTGTTCGGTTGATGAGGTCGCCATGTTGCACTATCTGGTGTAAATGAAACGATATCTGTGCTTGTTCTGGTGATGATGATGGGAGTTGAATTGGAGGCTTCACTCCAGAATGCGACAGTCGCAATCGCGCAGAGGACAATAACAGTCAAATTAAATGGTGAGGTGAACTACACTATTAGGCAGGCATCGCCACGTTTTAAATCCTCGTCATCCAGCTGTGCCTGGCGATCTTTGTGTGGTATGGATGGTATCTCTTTGCTTAGGTCGATAGTCGTGTCGGTTGGCTCTCACTTGATCATCCATTGTGGTCGATGACAACTGACAACCAGGGGCACTCCTGACCGGACGAGCTGCAAATGGTTCGCTGGCAGGCACAAAATGCCCACGCGAGCTGGCAGGTACCTTGGCTGAGGTACGTATCGCAACCCCGCCATGAATGACTAATCACGCTTGTCAACTAGTGGGTCCAGGGTTAACAGCAGCTGCCGAATCCGGACCTGCCGATTGGACAAAACTGCTTGGGCAAGCTTTAGCAACGGCCAAATGGATTCAACGGAGGAAAGGTCCAGTCCATCAAATCATTCCGTCCAGTCCTCCAATGCCGGTTTTGGGACTAATCACGATGAAGGTACCTTCCATGGCAGTACTGTAGAGGCCATCTTGAAACATTCGTCAACGACTTTCTTGCTCGAATGTCGATCGATACTTTTGCTCGCAACTCGTTCTGCGTGAGCGTACATTACAGAATTGGTGGCAAGCGCACCTCGCTATGCCTACTGCCCGTCGATTGACCTTTTCCAATATGTACAGACACTTATCTGGCTTATAATTTCGGTGAGTACTGCAATGCTAGAGAGCCCGAATGCCACATTGAACGCAGTTCGTAGTATCGTCCCCATATGCTACAGCTGCTTTCGTGCTTTATCGGAAGTCAACCGGCTCACTCTCTTCAGAGCTCATACCGACAGGCAGCACTAAGCACTTCATCTGGTGGTTTGTATCTATGCCATTACGGACATCCCCACGGGCTAAAGATACACACTCTAAAAATCATACAAGGTTGCTTATGATACCAGCCGCTGAGTCTCTACAAAGTCTACCTGTATGTATTTCGACATCCAGGCCTCCTTCACTCCTCTGGGGCCTAAACAGCATGGGCATAATTTAAGCAGATTTGCCTCGAAAAACTTCGGATCACAGTCATTAAGCCCGTTACGAATGGTGTATATGTTTTGGATTCCAAATTTTGGGCACATATCTTCCTGCCGCAGTTAGGTGCTGGGGGCATGGAGTGTTGGCTGCAAAAAGTCATGATACTAAAGAGCGTAGCATGTCGACGCCGATAAGAAAAGTTGAGGCATCCTCCAAGACATGCTTCTCGATCGTGGCGGTTAAACTCCGCCCCCATTGGTTGTAAAATGCGGATTGAGGTAACTGTAGATCCGGGGAAGGTTGTATCGCACACCAAACAGTGCATGCTGGGATTTATGACAACTCTCGCTGACAGAAACCTCTCTTTCCATTCTCGTCGAGGAAAACTTTACTATTTTCTTCCTGAAAGCAGGATATTGGATGAGAGAATTCCCATCCGACAGATCTGGGACAGGACGGTTAAGCAATGCTTAATGTCGTAAGTCCAGTCGTCCATGTAACAGGCTGACAGGCAAGAGGCATATTGGGGTTAAAGAATGGGGATTGTTATTTGATCGTTCGGCACATGGGGACAAACCCACCAGTCAGCAAAAGGTACCTGGCTAGATCGGTGTACATACATACAACGGATCGCTAGTGAGTAGTGACAGGCGGCGCCGCGTGGTTGCTGGAGATGCACGACATTCGGGGTTCTTGGAACTTTAAAGCATCTTTCCCACCCCCATTATGCCCTGTCAATGCGAATTTCCCATTTCTTGATTCGTCCACTTGCTCCGGGGCAAAACACGCCCAGTTTTTCTGCGACTTGCATTGCTTGGAGGTTCCATTCACGCATCCTCACAAGATTCGTGGTACATATCTTTTCTCTCCCTCCTGATACTGCTGCCACCGTCCTACCGAAAGCAGCTTTCTGGAGCCTTATCAGAGAATCCTGAAGCCGGCCACGCTTTCACTACCGAGTTGGAAGCGCTTTGTGACCGCTAAGCGTCTATCAAGTTACACTCTTCATCACCGCCACCAGACACATAAAGGATGAGCGCGCGGGCTTACCTAGTCCAGTCCGACGACCAAGTTGCTTTCCATCACAGGCCCCCAATGACCACGAATCATCCCATCTGCTTCTTATCACCGACCAAAAATGCATTTTGCCACAATAATGGTTAGCCTTGACTCCTGGCTCTCCCTCCCACGTACATACAGATGGAACGCACTGACTACTAGAGGAAGGTACCGGGAGATGTTGGAGACTTTGGACGCCCAAGGCACCGGTAGCCAGAAAGACGGAAGCCCGAAGCAAGCAACTCCGGTATGCGATTCACTGCCTCCGTTCACAGCTGGCAGAAGCTTGACTTATCAAGGAGAGTGCATATATACCGGGCCTCGATAACATTCACCATGCGCGTGCTAATGCGGACACGTTGAGAGCGATTCCGTCATATCTGGCCATGTTTATGCCCACGGGACAGACATGCTGCTACAGACATTTCCTACTGTTCGAAAACAGACGTCTTCCAGCCTGTTTCTTCAGTTTAGACCAGACAGGAGAGGGTTTGCGCCGTATACAACCGCTGGGAGGGTGCCCTAATATTTGAGGTTCCTGCAGGTTGAAGTAGTGGGAATTGGAGGAAGCTGCCTGCTCTTGTTGTTGAGGCCGCGGCGTGGGAAGAAGAGCGTTTTGCATCGTACCTACCTGCTCTGAGGAATATCTTTTTCTCATCCCAGTCCACGTTAGTTCTTTCCCTACGCAATTGGTGATCTGCACTAACAGGGTGCAAGTTCATGCAAGTCACTCCAGCGGAGCTTGGTACCTAACGGACATGGCCAAACCGGCCGTGCAAAACAAGTACACCTTGGTCTCGGGTACATCCGCACATGATAGTATCATCAATGCGCTAGAACGCGGTCATGGCGTCGGCCTCCCCCCCCTTCCACTTCCCCACCATGCCCACCATTGCGGCTTGTGCCAGGATCCTCGTTAGCGGCGTAAAGAAGACTTCGCTGCAGGTAGTAACGAACCGTACATCACTGCAGCGGGGAAAAAGTAGAGGTATCGATGGCGGACACAGTACACTAGGTACCGTGACTCTGAACACCCGCTGCGTGTGAAAATCTGCTCTGGGCTTGGTCGGTCCCCGCGTCAGGCGATACGTCGGCGCACCGTAATATACACGCCTGAAAGCGAGGAACGGCGCGAACTTTCCAAGTTTTTACGTTTTTTTAGCTTTGCTCTGCCCGAAAACTGGAAACTCCACCACATTTATTCCTCGTCCTCTTTCTTCACCTTTTTCTACTTCTACCACCACTTATGTAGCAAGGACTCCCTCCACCTTTCTTCTTCATCTGCTTTCCGCTCTTCACTTCTCTTTTCATTGGAGTCGTCTGCGTTTGCTTTGCCGTGTGTGGTGCACATCTCCAGAGGGTTTCATTCCTGCCTTACTCGCACCAAACGTCCTCTTGGCTTTCGGCTTTCGATTATTTCTCTCGTGCCTTGCGGTTGTTTTCCTGTACCGCCAGCAACCCCCAAAGTCGTCATTAGCGTCGTGACAAGGTCCGTATTCCATTATCCTCCTACTGGTGCCCGTCGACGCCATGCTGAACTGGCGGCTCCCATAGCAATTGGTCCTGTCCCTTCCTCCAGTTGGAAAAAAACACGCAAGGACACTGCTCAGCTTCCAGTGCTGTTAAAGAGTAAGTTCAACCACTTGGCCATGTCCTGCTCCCCAGCCGGTCTCGTCTCCCCTTCATCCCGTGCTTGCAAGCTGCGTGTGCCGTGGCAAGCGATATCCTGTTCGTCGGCGTGGTGCCCGGCGAAGCTCGGCTATTGTGTAGTTGTGACTGTTCCCAAGCTCTCTGGCAAAGAGCTATAGGACATCTACCGGAATGGCCCATCCAACAGATAACTTCGATTACACGCGATTCGAAGATACGAGTACCCCCTTCAGAGGTCCGAGGGTCCCCGAATTGCACTTCCTTCTCCGTCCTCCGGCGTCATCCCGAGCCCCGATCTCCCAGACTTCGTTACGCTGCCCACACAGCGCGCTGCAACGCTGATTCGATAAAATACTACGTCCAAAGCGAGAGATGGGAAACACTCAATGGAACAGGAGGCCCTTGAAAATCGAGGAGGGAGGAGAACATGAACATAATACATGGAGATCGGTGGGCCACGTCGAGGACCTCACAGACCGAGAGATCTTTCTGTGTGTTCCCAGGACAGATGGAGTCTCTGGATAGTCCGTGAGAAGAATTGGTGGTGTTCACGCCCTCTCTCGGATCCTTTCCTACAATGATCCTCTCTTCTCAATGGCCTTATTTATGGGCAACGAAGATTCATATCCCGCCTGCCAAAATTTACACTCATTCGGCGAGACTTTCGACCTTTTAAGTCTCCAACGATCTCTCCGCGGCCCACACGTTCCAGGCTTGAGTCACAACGGGACGCCTGCTACTCAGCGTGTGAGACGGCACACGGGCGGGCTTGCAAAGAAATGGATCAAGAATGGGACTCGACGCTATCTACATCTACATCACACGCCCGGCAAGCAGATGGACAAGTAGTCGGTCTTGACGCCGCTATGTCGCATCCTTCGATACCAGGCTCTTCGTCGTCGGTGGCCTACTACGATTTCTGCTCAGCAGTTGCTCAAAGCTGGTTTAAAGATGGACCCGTTGATGGCCGGCCTGGCCAAACTAACGCTAGTGCCGAGAGCGTGTGTAAAGGCCTTGCTTTACATAAAGCGGCCAAACATTGAAGTTGGGATGACAAGAGTTGCCAACGGATGCCGCCTCCATCTTGCACGGACGGGCCTATTCATGCTATCTCAAATGTTTACTAATACTCCGACTTTCGCAGGTCTCTGCTGTTCTTTCTCTTTCGTCCCGAAATCTTGCCGGATACAGGTAACCACCCTCTTCCTGTCTTCAGTTTGTCGTCTCATCACGGCCAACTCGTTCGTCATAGTACGTTCTTGTTAGGCGTAACGGTACTCTAAGAAGCGCTCGATTCGACTGCAGCTCAACATATTGCTTGTTGAGTCCACTTCGCCCGACACCGGTGAGTGTCTGCCTCCTTTCCTCCTGTGTTTGTACTTCCCTTTCATCCCATGTGGTGAGCACTTGAGCACATTAGGTGTTCCGCATTCTGGCCTTTGCATATGAGCAGAATCCTATTGCGTCACGGATGGCCCTACTGTGTCTCTGCCTGAAATGGATCAGGCAGCTCACTCTGGATGTCGGGATATAAATTGTGTTTTGGACAGTGGTTCTGGCCTGGATTGTCCCCTCTCACAACACTCGTCACAACACTCGTCAAAGCTGACAGCATGAGGAGTTTTCAGAGACGCGTCACGCACTTGCGGCACATACCGCATTCACCTAAACCTCGCATCGACACGGTCGCCGAGTTGCGCAACTTGTAAGTGTTGATCTTGTTGTTTACTTCCGGCACTCGCTATCGCAGTTTCCTTGCCATCTTCACAGCTGCTTGCGCATGCTGCAGGCGCGCTTGCGCAGTCTGGCAAGAGGGTCTTGTCTGGACTCGGCCGAGTGACTGAGCAGTGCCCACATCATTGGCAAAAATATCGGGACCGCAGAGCATTACTCAAAAATTTCTCCACTCTGGGCAAACTTCCATCCTTGTCCTTCAACTCGCAGTTCCTGCCTTCAACTTCTACGTACCCTACCCTACCACTACCGCCTTCCACCTGCCCTGGCCTCTGTGCCATACCTTCCACTCTTACACCTCAGCAACCCTTGCCTTGCGCAACCAACTTGCTGTCGAAGTGGTAAGGCATCACTTTGCACCCTTCCACCACTTCTTTGACGCTCGAGAAGCATACCCTCGCGGTTTTCATCCTCGAATCTCCCACACCCCGCGTCCTTTTCGGGTACGACGTTTGTTCATATCCAGGACAACAGCCCAGAGTTCGGACAAGGACAAGTCCAGTCATTGTTCAGCCGTTTACACTTCTTGCCATCTCACCTCACTCCCAACTTTGTGTTTATATCTGCCTTCCCATCTTGCGTATACCCACTTTCCTCCAGCTTCCTTCATTGTTCCTGTGGCAACAATCCCCTCTCTTATCTTTCTACTTTGGACCCTTCTGCCAGCAGTCACACGCGTCTTTCCATCTTCCCCGCTTCCTCTTTTACCCGATCATTCCTCTTTCGATCTTCTGTCGCGTCCGCCTCACCACGAATGTCACCTGTCGCCGAGATCTCATGCTCTCGTGCCGCTTCCTGAACTAGACTGACAGCGCAAAGGATCATGGCCGATTACACTGCTCCCGGAGCCCCCGGCACCAACAACGCCGCTCCTACCATGAACGGCAACTCTGAGGCCAACTTCCAGGCCCCCGCCGCCCTTGTTCAGCCCGGCACCAACGAGGCCAGCAAGACCCTGTGGTAAGTACCAAGCCATTAGGCTCGCTTATAACCTTGTGTTCACTGTGGTCTTCATGAATGAGGTCTGACTTCGGTTTCAGGATGGGCGAGATGGAAGGCTGGATGGACGAGAACTTTATTAAGAACGTTTTCACCACTGTCCTCGGCGAGACAGTTCAGGTCAAGGTCATCCGCGATCGCAACTCTGGGTGAGTATCTCTGCTATCTTGATCATTGCCTTGCGTCCTGCCGCTCCTGTATACTTACATTATCCGAACCACAGCAACGCCGGCTACTGCTTCATTGAGTTTGCCACCCCTGAGGCCGCTCAGAAGGCCCTTAACCTGAACGGCACCCCGGTTCCCAACAGCAACCGTGCCTTCAAGCTGAACTGGGCTTCCGGCGGTGGTCTGATTGACCGTCGGTGCGTACACATCTGCTTGTCACCCACTGAACATGTGACTGATAGCAATATAGCGATGACCGTGGCCCCGAGTATAGCATCTTCGTCGGCGATCTGGGTCCCGAGGTCAACGAGTTTGTCCTCGTCTCGCTTTTCCAGTCTCGCTTCCCGTCCTGCAAGTCAGCTAAGATCATGACCGATGCCATGACCGGTCAATCCCGCGGCTACGGATTTGTTCGCTTTTCAGACGAAGGAGATCAGCAGAGGGCGCTCGTCGAGATGCAAGGCGTTTATTGTGGCAATCGTCCGATGAGAATTAGCACCGCGACTCCGAAGACTAGGTTAGTCCTTTGCCCTTTTATACTTTTGAACGCGGTCCTAACACTTCTTAGCAGAACTCATCAGTACGGCGCTCATGCACCCCATGCCGCCAACCCCATGATGGCCCCTGTCCCCGCTCACGCGACCAACCTTCAGTGGGGAGTTCCCCCCCAGCCGTACTATTCCGGTTTCAACCCGATGCAGCCCATGAACCAGTTTACCGACCCCAACAACACGACTGTCTTCGTCGGCGGTCTTTCTGGCTACGTCACTGAGGATGAGCTCCGCTCCTTCTTCCAAGGTTTCGGTGAAATTACCTACGTTAAGATCCCTCCCGGCAAGGGATGCGGTTTTGTTCAGTTTGTCCACCGCCACGCGGCCGAGATGGCCATCAACCAGATGCAGGGTTATCCGATCGGCAACTCTCGCGTCCGTCTCTCCTGGGGTCGCTCCCAGAACAACTCCGGCGTCGGTACTCCCTACCGCCCCGCCCCCCCTCCGCCTCACTACATGGGCCCTCCTCCTCCGCCCGGCCCTGCTGGTCCTTATGGCGCTCCTCACTTCGGCGGCAACGGTGGACCGCCCCCGGCTTTGGTAGGCCAGACCCCTCGTATTCAGTATACCCCGGCCCCCTCCCCGGCTCAGCTTGCCGGCTCCCCGCAACCCCCGGCTACTCCTGTTTTGGCTTTTGCCACTCTCTACACCGTAACCCCCCCGCCGGTGACCTTCGAGGCGTCCAACCCTGGACGTCGCCGCCAGCCCACCAGCAGAGTTGCTAGTGGCAGAGTCGGCAGCAACGGCCGTGTTCTCAACGGTCGAATCACCAAGCCTAAGACTGAACCCAGTGGTTCACATGGCCAAGTTGGCCGCTTCTTCCGCCGCGGCGGAATGAAATGAGACTCGGGAGCCACACAACCTCTGGACCTAATCAGCCCAACGACCTAACATGACAACAACTTTTTTCTTCAATTCTTTTCAACAACCTGTTTCTTTTCTCAAACAACATTTTAGTCTGTGCTAACAACAACATTCAACAGTAATCACGCTCTGCCTATGCTTATGGTTGATCATCGCTCGGCGTTGGGGTGTGGCGTACCGGCAATCAAAACGTCCCCAGGTAACCGGTTGGCTTGAGCATTTCCCATCATTCTTCTCGGTCCGATAGCCACGACGAGGTGGCCACTTTTTGCTCGAGTTGTTTGTGTCGTTTGGGGTTTGCTTGGGGCGTCGTACGGGTCTTTCTGGTCTACTCTACGAAATGGCTTGCTGCGCGGAGTTTTTCAAAATGATCATGGGTTTTACGATGGAAAGAGGATGTGGTCTAGTCTCAAAATTCTTGCTTGTCAATGCGTCTTTAGATTGGTTTTACGGCGAGCATTGTTGCTTTCGTTCATTTCATCTGGACGATCGAGCGATGGGAAGTTTTTCCGCAACCCAGATACAAAGATATCTTGACAGATTCGTCACGAGTTAGCTTAGGTTGGCTTTCACAGTTTCCTGTGCGTGTGGCGGATTATCTATGGGTTAGCATCGCTAAATCACTTCGCTATACCTCGTTTCGTTGTGCTTTGTGCTTCACAGTCTTTTGTCCTTTGTTGCACTTGATTTTCGCTATGATCTCCACCGAGCCTTGCTGTGCCCTTTATCTTGATTATCTTTAAGATGAGTTTGAGGCTATGGTTGATGCATCGTGCGTCACTCTCCTCGCTTCGCATCCATACATACAATTGATGCTGCCCAAGCCCGAGCCCTTCCCATACATAGCTAAGGCTGACCATTCACAGGACGCATCTTAACTACCTATGTCATGGCCATCCATGTCCCAGAGACGAACTTTCAGTCATCCTTGATAATTCTGGATACGGTGAAAGTGGCGTTTCGGCATATCTTCACTCAGTAACGTTTATGGTGATTATGGCCGAGCAGCCCTGTCCATCACAGCCCGTTCATTACCATGCTTCTCCAGAGTCTTTCAAGCATTCACATGGGAGGCTTCTGAAAAGCCCAAGTACTAACAACACTAAGAGGGAAGTAAAAATGGGAAATGGACTGCTATGTTCAAATAAGAAGAGCGAAAGATGATTTGCACCAACGTTGAAAGACTTCCAGTTTTGCCTGCCTTGTCTACTACTTTGGGTATGTTCTGTTCCGGACACGGATATGAACATTGTATTACACAATGAATGAGCTGACTTGAGTCGAGAGCAATAATAACGGGGATTGAGGCGAATATCCTCGATGAGCATGTATGACGTGTCTGGTAGGTGTCAACGCGGACCTTATGTCTGCCATCACTGTAACGCGGCGCGGGCTATTGAAAGGGCTGGCAGCTTACAACTAAGTCTTCTCGGCAGGGCAGCCTCCTTTCACATCACCAGACTGAAAATTGCCCTACCCTCCCAGTGAATGGGGGTATATCCTCAGTTATGGTAAAAATCATTGACTCCTCCCCTCTCGCCGTCACAGTTCCCGTATCAGCATCGCTAACCTGGACGAGCTCACTCTATCCTAACCCTTGGTTGCTTCCAGGTTTAGCTTGGGAAGGGCTAGCCTTACCAACCGGCAACAAAGTCCACCTCGGAAACACTGCTCCCATCCTTACGAACCAGAGGGTTTGGGTCTAAATCGGCAGATGGAAATTTGTGATTTCGAGTGGAATAGAAGAAGTCCCAGCCCCGCTTTCGTCCCAACTTTGGAGAAGCCCCAGCTCCTGCATATACGTAAAAGCCTGCAAGCCATAATGGAAGATAAGCAGAGAAGTGGAAGGGGACCTGACCGCAGTGGGGTCATTTGACTGCTACACCTGCACTGCGTGGTTACAGTAGAGGTAATGATTGGGACCTCCAGTCCAGAACGTCTTGGGGAAGTTTGACAAGAAAGGCAGGAACGAACGGACTTGGGGCTGGCCATCAAGGTCCTCTGCCTTTGTCGATGTCATCTGGAAAGAGGCTTCTTCAGCGAATATAAGGTTGGGTTACAAGAACGAACCAAGGTGAGTGTTTACGCAGTTTCGTACATGTACCTCGCTGTCTGCCTGCCTTGTGGTTTAGAAGAAAGGTGAATGAAGCCGTTGGTCATCTGCATGTGCCAACCAGGTCCATCAAGGTTAGGTACTCGTTCTCGTGTAATTCAAAGTGCAGACCTAACGGACCACGAGGCTCAACAAAAGACAGCCAGGAGGGGCAGGGAGACTGCGTGTTGAGCTTTCTTTGCGGCTTCCTTGGGGCTGGCTTAGTGTTTCGGGCCCGAGGGGCACAGAGAAGGCCGATGGGAAGGAACGGAGTGAAAGGAAAGGAGTGAATGGCGTAATTTCTTTGCCAATCGAGTACATAGGTAGTGATTGCCGATTCTGGCATTTGCTCAGCTGGAATACGTGCAAAGTGCCTGGTTATTTCCTTCGATGCAAGAGAATGAGATGTGAAGGTGATCACTATGGAAGTTATTATCCTTGTAAAATTTTTGTGTACAGCGGTTGCATGTTGTTGGTGTCTTGGGTGAATTAACTTCAATATGCTGATTACCTAGATTCTCTGCTTGGGCATTGCTTGGTTACTTCTTGTCCATGCCTACGTAAACGGGGAAGGTAGTAAGGCCTTGCATGGCTTGATAGCGCTTGAGCAGAAAGAAGTTCGACCGCATCCAGTATTTCCCACAGTTTTACGTATTCTGGTCGAAGTTTTCGATCCGTTTCATCTTCTACTGGCTATATTATCTAGGACATTGCAAGCTTTGTGGTCAGCCTTGCAGTTGAGCCTTCAGCGGCCCACCGCCCCAGGAAAAAGTCTATTACTATCGGCTGCGGCTCCCAGGAAGAGGGAACCCATAGAGGTACCTAAGGTACCTACCTTGTGTTATCTCCTTACGCTGGCCATGACGAACTTAATCCTTTGAACGGCATCTTTGTTGTTTGTTCGGCCACAGAATGTCTTTGGAAGATCTCCAAGATACTAGGGCACGGTAGTCTGGATTCCCCGCCCCCGCTGATACCCCTGAAAACAGTTGCTCAAAGAAGCAAAACAATAACATGCTACCCCTTTGAGACAGTAACCAGCAGTTAACATCACACAAAGCTCATCTTTGGGTTGCCCAGCATAGATACAAACACCACATGCCATTCGCAGGACAAGTACTGCAGTGGCATGGCCCCCTGATCCGACATCACCGTCCACAGCACATGCAGACATGTGAACTGCAAGGGGGACAAGTATCACTTGTTAACAGTACTAATGTACACAGTGCTGTAGGCGGCCGTTATTATTGGCAGGGTTCGCTGGCGACGTCGGGGCCAATTACATGTATATACCCCTATGTTGTCGTTAGTTCGGGATACATCCAACCACGGGTTCTAGAAGGAAAAGTTCTTTACTGGTAGAATAGTAGCTCGAATAAAGGTACCGCAGGAGTCAACCTTGACGATCCTGCAGAGACACTGCGCGATTCAAAGTCTACCCTACTGATGTACATGGAAGAGGTTCTGTGAGGGCTAATTCGGACGGAAGAGAGCACCGAACTCTTCTGCTTCAGATATTGCTCATCAAAAACCATCGACTGTGGTCTTCTCCCAGACGACGAAAGGATGAGAACGTGTGTACTTACCTAGGTATGTCGTCGGACAATTTATATCCGAGGTAGCACTTTCGATCGGGAATAGCTTGGTCGTGAAGGATCGTGGGTCGGCAGCATGCTGCCAAGCACCTCCAACCCCAAATGTGGCTTGCCCCTATTCCCCTTTCAGACAGGCTCGACAGGCAACAGCCCGTTATGTTACAGGCGCGCTGCTCGCTGCAGCCTCTCTGCACATGCAGGGTTCACGACCTGGATTGGGTCTCGAAGAAATCTTTGGTGGCTGGGGTTTCCCGTTCGTTCGCCGTTCCGAGTCGTCGGTTGCTGGCCGCCGCTGGGCCTTGTTCCGCTAGTGCTTAGAATCGGTGCCGTAGTGCCCATGTCTGCTGACGTTGGGAGCTGAGATTCGCTGTTGCCGGATTTTGGGACAAGATGGATTTATGATGATGGTTTCCTCCTCTTTAACCTTCCATCGCTTCCTTTTGTCTTTTCTCCTTTTCTTCCCTCTGTTCGGTGCTCGGACCAACGGCGACAACGACGGCGACAACTCAATATCTGGAACCGGCCGGGCGCAGTTAGAGGTTAGCTCATGCTTGGAAAGCAGCAGTGGTCAAGGAAACCAGCTTTTGGGAGGACTGAAGAGGAGTTTGAGGTGGTTGGTAGCTTGGAGCTGACCTCTAGAGAGACCCATTGGACAATCCCGAAAACCTCGGGTTTTCAACACCGTGTTCCGAAGAGCTTCCCCGATACTTCACACAATTCCCGCTTGCTTAGGGGTGGAAGCAGGACTGGAAGGTATCAGCAACTGTGACGGAACGTGGATGGACGGTATGGATGGATGTCGAACGGGGTTCTCGAAGCCTTTCGAGGTATGATGCCGGGCCAGGGCTCGTTTTCAAGCTGTCGCAAATCCTATCCCGGTTCCTGGCCCTGATGTATGAGGCGGGGATTCTCGCTTTAATGGGTTGGTGGTACCATGGATGGAAAGGGGATCCAAACGCGAGGGTGGACTTGATCTTCCCGTGCTTCTTTCCAGTACGTCTCTTGGCTTAAGCAAAGATGGCAGTTGAAGTTGTAAGACTCTTGCTAACATGGAGTGTGTAGCTGGGCGTGGCCGTTCTTGTAAACGCATACGAGATGGTCTCTTTTTCGTGCTTGGACCGGCGACGACCGATCAATGTCATTGCCGTGTGCTTCGACGTCTTGATTTGCGCTGGTAGCACCTTTTGCTTTCTCCTTCTAGGGCTTATCGACAACGATCCAGTTCAGGACAGACTTAGAACAGATTCCACGCGGGAACGATGGAGGAGGGATCAGAGTAAAGCAATGATCTTCATGATTGTGTTTTGGTAAGTCATTGGGTCCGATTGAAGTGTGTGATGCTGGCGCAACACTCACGTTGTTGATTGCTCCTCACACCTTTTTCCCCGGTCGCAGGAGTCAAGATGGTCTTTCTTTGACATTGATGCCATTGCTGACGTCGAACTTGTCGATGCAGCTTTCTTCATGCATTGTTTATAATTATGGCTTCGGCTGCATGTGTCTACTCGGGGATATTGAAGAACAGGGCCAGAAGGCGAAGGCGGATAGCACGAAACCGAGCGCAGATGGCCCGGTTTGCAGACGAACGACGGAGGCAAATGGACGTAGATAAAGCCCAAGTCGGGGCTCCGGTTGAGGATGTCGGACAGAGTGAGGAACGGAGCGCCGAACGAAACTCAAGGGGAACGGAGTCAACACAGTCAACGGAGCTGGAAGGCAACGAACGAAGGACGAGGGAACGGCTCAGTAGAGCCACTGAGGCTAGCATGTCCTAGCCGAGGCGGTTACGGTACATGTACTCACTCAGGATCGTTATTTAGGGGAGTATACTACCTCTTTGGTTGGCCATCCTCTTTACCGGCGTTCTTCTCGTACGGCAAGTTTATTACCGTACAGTACCTTCCATACCAGATATCGCCGGACCGTTAATAGACCGCAGTAGGTGCCTTCCACTTTTGCTCCGTATCCGATTGTACATGTGCACGAGATCTTGCCCTAGAGGTACTTCGCCGCACAATCTAGAGGTACATGCCTCTTTTACAAAACTCTTCAGCTCTTTCACGGCTCGAACTTGAGTCATCAAGTATTTGCTCTCGCATTCTCCTGCCTCCTTGGACTTCAACTTTCAACTCTCAACCCCAACCGGTTACTTACCTTTAGGTACCTATCTTCTTCTCTCCTCCTCCTTCTCCTCAACAAGACACGTCGTGCGGCGAGGGGTTGAGTTCCTCCTCAAGGGCCCTCCCATCCTGTCAAAGTATTGTGAGATTTCGTTATCGTATACCTACAGGTATGGTTCAGTTGCTGACCATTCATGAACCACAGTGGTCAAGTCTCCGGTTTTTCGATTGTGCTGGCCGATGACGGGACAAAACATACGTCCCGTCATAGGCCAAGAATAACAAGCATCGCCATCACCACCACCGAATCCAGGCACACGCCATCATGGGGATCAGGCCCGGCGAAGGCGCTACGCCGTGTCCCCCTCTGCACCCTTATCCACAACAGTAATGGCGTGTGCCCTGGTTACACAGATCTCTGTTTTAAAGTTCAAGAAGCTCTCCGCGAAGGCCAAGGAACGTAGAGGTACCTCTAGGTATGTGCTCATCCAATCTGTACAATTCACCGACATCACCAAAGAATATTCCCAAGCACCATTGGAGGGGACCCTCAATTTCGGCCACACCTCACATGGCCTCCCCGTTCTTTCCGATCATGATGGGACCGATGACCACGAGCGGGAGAACTAACGGAGTTGCCAGATATTGTATGCCTGGGCAGTCTGAATCCGGACCTTCCTACCGAGCGAGGTTATCTTGCGGACGGTTTGTTGGACCCAACGGCTTCAACATTAAGCCGGGGGGTTGAGCAGTAAGTACCTACCTATATGCCTATCCCTCGCTTTCTCTCCCATTAGAAACATGACTAATCGTTGAACCAGCTCATCAACCATCAGCTCATCGCCTACCTTGCATGGTCATAGCCACCAACAACCAAGAAGCCTTGCCCTCACAAAAAGCTCTACGAAAGGAGAGGAATATCAGCGGGGAGGCCGGCGACAACAAGAAGCGCAAGAAGCACAACGGCGAGACCGCCGAGGAGAAGACTGAGCGCAAGAAGCAACAGAAGAGCCAGTTGGGATCCTGGAGATATAGCGATGGAGGAAACCGCTCGCTGGAGTTCGTCAGCGACCCTGTCACTTGTAGACCGCGGGGCAAGAATCCAGGTTGACAGGACCTTCACCTTGATCTCACCTTCACTTCCGCTTGATCGGGTTGATTGTTCAGCGATGTAAAGCTCTGCACCTCTCCTGCCGGGCCCGCTCCTGACCCGAATGAGACGGAAGAACAGAGGAAGCGCCGCTTGCGGAAGGAGGAGGAGAAGAAGAAGGAAAAGAAAGGAGAAGAAGGAGAAGTTTGCCAAAGTGCGTCAGCACCGCTGAACGTCCCGGGAGTGTTGGGACGCCTCTGACCCTGACTCGGGGTTTCTCGTGAGGAAACCACGAGGTACACAATGGGACCCGCCGAGGGAAGCCCGTTGAGGGAAGCAGCTACCTTTGGGTATGAGCTATATATAAGGCCCGTCAACGGAGCCTTCAGCTCCCTCAACAGTTAGAGAATCAACCATCATGACATTCATCATCCATCGGGTGCTACGCTGGTCCACGCATCAGACCCTGTGCAGACAACCAAGTTTACCAGGACTGAGCGAGGTACAAGGAGACGACAGAATTTGTTTGAGTTTGTAGTGGTAACGGAAAAGGATAAGTGGAAATCAGAGTAGTCTAGAAACATACGAATACCACTATCGTCTCCAAAAACTTAATAGTTCCTCGCCGTGCTGAGAAGTCAAGTGAATTATGTGGTGACTTGTCACTCGTTCGTGAATGAATACAAACAGTTCTCGGTGCTTGTTGAGTGATAATTTCAAACCTCCTTGAGGCCTGATATTTTCAATAGCTTGACAACAGATTAGCGAAGACAATACGTAAACCAAGCACAAGAGCAATCATATGGAACGAAATCAAGTGTTTCAAATGGGGGTATCGTGTTATTATATCTTCTCAACACACACACGTCTCCTACGTGCGAGACTCAAGCCCAAATGCGAGATTTCCACTGACGGAGTCAAACATGCTTCCCGCGCTGTAGTGACCCGGCTCGCAAAAACACCAAGCAATATCCTTTGTGACGAAAATGCTTTCACAAATTCATTCATGCATGCATCCCGAAACCAACAAACTCCTAATGCAATTGAAATGTGTAGGGTATCCGATCCTTTACTTGTTCTCCTCCTCCTTCTTTTTGTTGGTGGTCTCCTTGTCGTCCTTCTCCTCGCTCTTGCCCCTGACGGCGCCCTCGAAGCTGGTACCAACACTGGCAATGGTCTCGCCAACAGGCTTTCCGAGGCCGCCCGTGACGCTGGTAATGGTCTCGCCGATGCCGCGCGAGGCAGCGCCGACTACACCGCCAACCGTGTTGGCGACGGAAGCGGTGGTGTTTCCGACCGTGGTGGTGACGCCGCTGGCTACGCTGCCGACGGCGCCGGTAACGGTGCTGGTGGCGCTCGCGAGGAGGCCGGGGGACTTTTCTTTTTGCGCATCATCGTTGGAGGTGGAGGAGCTCTCGGTCTTGCTCTCATCCTTCTTCTCGGTGGAGCTCTTCTGCTCCTTCTCTAGGGAAGCGAGGGTTTTGGGGGCCTTCTCGATCTGCTCGGCAGTGACGGGCTCGCCGGCGTCTTGGGAGACGGCCTGGGAGTAGAGGGGGGCACCGGGCTTGTTGGGGTTGGAGGCCATTTTGGTAGTTTTGATGGGATTGGTGATTTGCGGGTTTGGTTTTGTGGTTGGTCCTTGTTGGTTGGAGAAAGATGTTCTCTTGATTATTGTAGTAGTAGTAGAGTAGTGGCTTGAATGGATTGGAAGCAGTGATGTTCTACGAAAAGGGTTTGGAGTGTGTGACCGATGCGTTCCTTATATGCCTGTACGACCACATGGAAAGACAGACACTCCACCGTGCATTGCGTTGCGGTTGCATGACGATGATGGTTGGCAGCCAAAGGCAGGGGAGGGCTTGGTGGAAGCTTCAAAGACAAAGTTGCCCCGCCATTCTACGTCATTTTGCTGCACGGTCGATCATGGTCCGTCTGCCGTCCGTCTTCAAGTTGTGTCTGTCTGCCTGTCTCTGACACCTGCACTATCGTTTGCCGGTAAGTGCCGTACCTACCGCACCCCTGATTCTTCCATCCCTGGTTGCCGAATGACACTTCACTGCCCTATGTACATAGTGCTGCCTGTTAAAGGCGCTGAAATTGGCGCGTTGGCAATTGCTGCCAAAACTGACTGCCATGATTGCGAGCAAGGGTCGCTGGCTGTAATGACGTCGACGTACTAATAGTATAGCGGGGCCGAGCACGCTATACCTGTTCTGGCCGTTTCCTGATCTCGCCCTTCCCGAAAGTAATCGAAATGACGGGACGGATAAAGTAACTGTATAATCCGATAAAGTAACGGTATCTAACCCAAAGG